ACTTTATTAGTTAGCTCATCACAATGTTTGCACATGGTTTCTATTTTAGCAAGCAAACTTTTATAGGCATCTTGTGAGCTAGCTAACTTTTCTTTTAATTTTTTATTTTTCTTTACAAGTTGCTCATCATTGATTGTGCATGCATTTGTTGTTGCAATAGCCTCAAGTTGCTCAATTTCAGTAGATAGTTCAACATTGAGATTAGCAAATGTCTCATATTGTTCGAGCAAGGTTTTTTATGCTTCTTGTGAACTATCTAGCTTTCCTTGCAACATTTTTAACTTCTTTTGTTGACTAGTGCAACTTTTAGCATATTTAAGATTTTCTTGCACAAGTTGCTCAAAAGAAGGTAGTTCATTATCACTATCACTATTATTGTCACTATCACTAGGGATAGACTTTTTGTTACCTCGTGCCATAAGGCACACTCGTGAAGTGCTTGATGATGAGTGCTTGTACCCTTGCCTCTTGTGATGGTCTTATTCTTCACTTGAAGAATTATTCCATGACCTTATTGATATGATGGTTTTGTCCTTGCACGCCTTCTTCTTTGTCTTGGGTGTGGGCTTGTTTGGACAAACTTCCACAAAGTGCCCCCAACTCATCGCATCCATAGCATCCTTTCTTCCTTTGCTCACTTCTTTGATTTGTGAAAATGAAATCTTGAATTTGGATGGGCACACCCTTGACATTGAGCCTTTGGATCATCCTCTCTACCTTATTGATAAGTTTGATTGATTCTTCATCAAGGTCAGAGGTGGAGGACGAAGATTGATCATCATCACTTGATTCTTCATCATCATCATCATCTTCTTCTTCTTCTTCACTTGAGGAGCTTGAGCTTGAGCTTGTCTCAACTTGCTTGCCCTTCATCTTCTTTTTCTCACTATATGTGAGAGCTTTGCCTTTGCTTGATGATGAGGCTTCTTCTTGACCCATCTTCCATGACATTTCAAATGCCACTATCTTGCCAATGACTATGGCTAGGGTTATGGTGCTCAAGTCCTCCATGTTATGAAGGATGGTGATGATACTTGCATATTTCTTTTGTGGTAGCACGGAGATGATCTTCCTCACGATGTCCGCATCATCTAGCTTCGTTAATCCTATTGAATGGAGCTCATTGATAATTAGATTCAAATGAGAATACATATCACGAACAAGCTCATCATCATTTATTTTAAAGGAATCATAATTTTGTTTAGCTAGACAATGTTGTTGCTCACGGACATTAGTTGTGTCGTCATGGAGCTCTTGGAGTTTTAACCAAATTTCATGTGCTGTATTTAAAGTGAACACTTGGTTAAACACATCCATGCTAAAAGATTCAAACAAGTAATTTTTAGCTTTAGCATTGAAATGAATTTTTTTCTTCACTCTTTGTGGGTTTATCAGGATTCTTAATGGGTTTCATCCCATCACGAGTGACTCTCCAAACACCCAAATCTATCACCTCAAGGTGACAAGCCATTCTAGCTTTATAGTAGGGGAAGTTAGTACCATCAAAGTACGGAGGCCTAGAGGTATCCATCTCAACCACTCTAAATAGCGTTGGTTTCAACGGCGGTGAAGCCAAATGTCTAAATTAAGCCAACCGGCTCCGATACCACTTGTAAGGGACCATGACGCCTAAGAGGGGGTGAATTAGGCAACTTAAAACTCTAACTCTAAACTATGGCCTCTTTTTCTACCTAGTCAAAACCTATGCAAGAAAGTAATCTAAATGTGCAACTACGGTTTTGCTAGTGTGTTGCTATCTCTACCGCAAAAAGGAGTTATGCAATCTAGGTTCCAAACCTATCAACTAGCCTATCACTAAGCTAGGAAAGTAAAGCACAAACCAAGATTGCAATGTAAATGTGGAAGCTAAAGAGTAAGGTAGAGATATGCAAACTCCCGTCGACGACTCCGGTATTTTTACCGAGGTGTCGAGAAGCGCGCAAGCTTCCTAGTCCTCGTTGGAGCCCCTCACTAGGAATCCCTCACAAGGGCCAAGCGCAAGTGGATCTTCGGTGTGCCTTCCAACAAGCCTCTCCCGGACCGCTCCCTGCCGTCTTTACTATCAAGCTTCCGGTCGAACCACCGTGGGTCTTGTTCCCTTTGGTACACGGTGGCGGCCACACCATAAACGCGGTTGGTGTGATCTCGCAGGACTACAAGCCCCTCCGATGTACAACAATGGTGCGCGCAAGCACCGAGTAGTAAGATGTGTGCAAACCTCACTAAACACTAGGCCTAAACCTAGAGCAAGCGCATAAGCGGTAGTCTAACTAACCTAAGCACTTCGCAAAGCACCTACGCTAATCACCGAATGTATCACTAAACACTATGCAAGTGGAGATCACTAAAGTGGTGTATCAACACCCTTGGTATGTTTTCTCAGCTCTCCACCCCTCAAATGGCCGGTTGGGAGGTCTATTCATAGCCCCACAAGTTTCTGCTAGTGACCGGACGCTGATCACGTCCCGATCGGACGCGTTCGGTCCTACCCACCGTTGGAGCGTGCGCGTTGATCGGACTCTGGGCCGAGTCCGGTCTCACTCGATCGGACGCGTCCGGTCACGCTGGCGCCACTCTAGAACCTTTCTGGACATGATCGAACGCTACTTCTTGGTGCGTTCAGTCGTCCTGCCGTCGTGTCTTGTCACGCTGAGAGCGTTGCCGTTGACAATGAACAGTGAAGTCCATGTGTCCGGTCACTGCCTCGCTCAGCGTTCAGTCACTGTTGCTGACGCCTGCTGTTGCCAAGCAACTGATCGGACGTGTCTGGTCCTCATAGGGCCGCGTCCGGTCACCTCTGTCGAGCTTGTTTCTTCGCGATCTTGCGTCCGGCTTGGTTCCCATCTTCGTGCTTAGACTTTGCGTCTTCTCTTGTGCTTCTAGGGTCTTGCTTATGATGTTGATCGTGGGATCATCATGTCACCTTCGTCCAAGTCACGTCTTGCGCCCTATTGAACTACAAAACAATTACTTGTAAATTCATTAGTTCAATTTGGTTGTGTTGGTCATCAAACACCAAAATCCAAAGTAAATGGGTCTAGGGTCAATTTTCCTTACAGTTGTGTCCCGTGGCCAACGGGGCATAGCTTGGTTACACTGTTTTCTCTGTCTGTGTCGGTTAAGGACCGGCCGTTGCATTGGATTCTAGTCATGTCACAGACTTATTATCCTGAGCACATACTTATTTATGGGAGCAGGGAAGGCTCGTTGCTCTGTTATTGTCGGTTCGGCTCTTTTCGGACCGACTGATTGGAGGCGGGGATGGTGGAGATCTAAGCACCACACTGAGTCCGGAACTCAGGTGTGGGGGCTTAGAGTCCAAGTTTGGACGTGGACCTAGACCCCTTGACAGGAGAGTGGCGGGTTGGTCCTATTTGTGCCTGGGGTACAAGCGGGGCGTGTGTCTCGGGGTACCTAGCTAGGCTACATTGATTCACGAATCGCCGCGTAATATGGTACGACTTGTCTACGATCTAGCATCGTAGTAAGAACTGGAAGATAAAAGATGGTGAAGTGGATCTGATTGTTCAACTCTTGCTTGAAAGTAGAACAGGTGCTTACATAGAATGGTTAGCTAATGAACTAATCATGACTGCTAATGAAATACATACATAAGGATTCACTACTAGTAATGTTTTTTGCAAAAAGGAAACCCAGCAAACCATAAAGCTTATAATATCCTTGGAGTCGGGAAATTATTTCCACTAGTCGGGTAAGTCTTACGAGTACATTGTGTACTCAGGGTTTATTTACCCCTGTTGCAGGTGCAGCTTGAGGAGTAGCTGTTGTGTGGAGGATTCTTCTGGTAGGCACAGACGGATCCTTATATCTTATCATTAGATGTTTATTTTAATTCCGTTGTTTAAATTTCGCACTCTGAACTTGGTATTGTAATAATGTATTTCTGAGAATTCTTGTTGTATGAAATGGACTAAGTATTGTAAACTCGTTCTCATTATTGGATCCTGGAAGAAAAACGTGGATAGTTCGAGTTCTTCCTTGGGGTGTGCTCGACGGAACCATCCGATGTAGCTAGCTTTCGGGATACTTAGGGTCTGGTGGAAGACGAGCGCCTCCGGAAGCGTGCTATTTCGGGCGGTTCTGCCACGCCGAGCGCCATAGTTAGCATGTCACCCGACAGCTTGTGCGTCGGCACCTCGAGGACGGCGCCATCGCCCTAGCTGGCGAAGCTGCCCTACGCGTCAACAGCGCAGGCGTGGCGGTGGCCGGTGGTGATGTTCTTGAAGGGCGTGGGCATGGGTGTGAGCGACGGCGCCCAAGCAGCTCTTGCTGGTCTTGCCGAGCTTGCCGATGCCGCGGAGGAAGTCTGGCCCAGTGCAATGCGGGAGAAGTCGAGGGGCTCGAGGCCTTTTGGGAGGTCGGGGTGCGGCCACTCCCAGCATGTGGGCCCGTGGTCATCGGAGAGGCCACAAACATGGTAGCTGCCAACGTTGAGCGAGTGGAGCAAGGGGCCCAGTAGAGGCAGCGGTCGACGGGGCAGCCGAGGTGAAGTGCAGCTTGGAGCCTCGGACCGACTCCAACAAACGACGTTAACAGCGAAAGTAACAGAGTGCTAGATTGTGGAACGGATGCTCACTTTCAATGGTATTTTACGGTGCGGTAAACTTTCGATGGTATTTTCTGGATCTTGTGTTTTTTCGGTGGTATGAAACCAATTTTCCTTCTTTTTTTTTTTGTCTTGTTGATTGAAAAAGGTAGGATCCAGCTTCTGTGAGGCCGGGGCTGGTGCCGTGTGCCGCCCTGCCAATAGAACGTGCCAGGTGCCATGTCGTTTGGGGCAAGCGAGCAACAGCTGCACGTGACAACAGGCCTGGATTCGTTGGGCGCTCGGTATTCTCCCGTGTCGCTCTGGCCACTAGCTAACGCTGGCGCAGGCGCACATCGCGTTGCCGGCGGAGCTGGGCTTCAGGATTACTGGTTCCAGTCGCATACAGAATCCCCAGCTTAGGCGTCAAAAAGCGATGGTCACGAATGCATCGTCACTTCATCCGCCTTGCCACGTCGCACGTCGGAGATGCTTCCATCATTTTCTCATGCCGAACACCATTATGACAACGTATTTCTGCACAAGAGCGTCCGCATCCATGGTCTACCCAACATCAGTACTAGGACACAAGGCAAGAAAAGGCATTTCTTTGATGTCAAGAATCAGAGAATCCAGTGCAAGCTAGACGTGGTGCCGTAGTTTCCACCTCTGTCACGGAATCGAACAATGATACTACTAATCGCTACTTACTGGACACCTCTACAGAAACAACACACCCCTGCTGAGAACAGCTAGGCAACCATACATACAATACAAAAAATAAAGGCCAGACCATCGGATTTACTCATTTACAACCTCATAAGATGATCCATGTCTTACGAGTAGGAGCGCCGCATTGGGAGCTCCAAAAAAAAGAAATCGAAATTTTAAGTGGCTGGCTACAAGTTCAGATGGGCGAATATGGCCGGCACCAAGTCAACCACGGACCACGCGAGGCCGGCGTACTGGACGAACCTGATGCCCGTGTCCACGTCGTACGCCTTCTGCGGGAAGCGGGAGAACAGCCGCTGGAGGTACCCGGCGGCCTGCCTGTTCTTGCTGCTGCTGCTGTCATCGACTTTCAGGGCAGGGACATAGCAAGACGACACGATGGGGATGCCCAGGGTGCTGCACATGACGGGCAGCAGCCACTTGGAGAGCGCTTTGCTGCAGAATTTCACGACCAGGATGGTTGGGATCCCGACGAGGACGCGCCCGGCAAATGTGAGAAGGGGCAGCTGGGCGCTGAAGATGAGGGGGGCGTCAGGGGTGTGGAAGTGGAAGTAGGTTTGTTGGATACCGTATACCTGAATCATGTTTGTCAGAAAGAGATGTCAGAAAAACCTCAGGTAGACCACATGATTCAGAATAGTGAACAGGATATGCTGATACATGAAACAAAACATAGGCAAAGAGGACTAGAGTTTTGTTTTTTGAATACCAAGAAAGTGATTCACTAGCCTAAATCATCAGTATAAAACTAATTTTGTAATAACACAGAATTTACTCGGGGCAGTATGTTTAGCCACTGACCAACTTTATGCATTCCATCATAAAATGGATACTAGAGAATATTATAACCAGATGGTTAAGCAAAGAGAGAACTAACCAGAATCCATGCCATGATATTTTTTTAATCTTAAACTAGCTTCATTTTCTAGTCTAAGGTTAGTACAGAAGAATGTATCAACTTCTTCAGTTTGACCAGAATCATGTATGACGTGAGCAAGTTTCGATTAAGCAACGTTAGTCAGAAACAGAGCTCTTACAATTCCAAAAGCGACTCCGTTGAATGCTGTGTGGTAATCAAAGCTAGGAGTAGGGAATTCTGGCTTCGGATATGCAAAGCACATCAATAGAGAAAGGCCTGCCCAGAAGGTTGCAACTGCAAAAACGGGAAAGCTCAAAGCTGTTAGGATACTTTTCAACTTTCAACGCCACACCTTACGTGCCTCCAAAATTTGCAGCACGCAAGCACTGAGGTGTATGGATGTACCATTTTTCCCAGAGACAATGAAGGCATCAACATGGTCATCGACAGCCAACCAGAATGCAAGGATGACAATACCAAAACCAATTCCAGCAACAACATCGGTCAAGCTGTGCATACCCAAATATATCCTTGCTGCCAATTTAAGGTAAACCAAATCGTCACTATATTTCAATAACTCGAGAAAAACAGTTGTGTTAAGAACTCTAACTCACCAATGCCAACTAGCATAACAAGTAAGAAAGCTAGAGATAAACCCGCAGCAACTATGACACTGCCATGTTCTCCATATGTGAGGACATAATGTAATAGATATCTGCATTGATCAGAAACAGCATTAGCCAACAATTCCTTTCAAACTTCCCCTATCGAAATAAGAGCAGGAACATACCCCATCAAACAAACAGTGTTGAGAGCATGCGATGATGGCAGCCCATATTCCATGGCATTTTCCTTCTCATCTTCTGTAGTTGCCACTCTTCTAACAGGAGGAGAGCATGGCCGAGGGGCTGACACCATATCCTGCATTCAGAAAGATCAAGAGTGTCAGCGATTAAACTAAAGCCTACCCCTTCAATTGTATTATGAACAGATGGCAAACCTTGACAGAGTTGCCGAGGTAATCGCAGAAAGCCATGAGGAGGGTCATCTGCCTAGCTAGCCTGCCGTGTCCACTCTACAAGATATTGTTTTTAAAAATAACAATTCAGAATCAAGCGGAATTATTACAGAAAATAAAGAAAGCAAGGCAATCAAATCAGTGGGCCAGGAGACAGAAGACATACCCAGAAGAGAAGAGGGAGGAATCCCGTGTAGAAGGGCACGGAGACAACGCATGACAGCACAGAGAAGAAATTGTCCAACAACTTGTGCTCCAACAACCTCTGCAATGATTCAACACTTGAGAAACACCGAAGATACGGAAATCTAAAACTAAGATACCAGAGTTTTTACAAGACAACCTTGTTTACTGCCTAATTGCCAATCCGTTCAATTTAGAGTAAGAGAATGAACTGGAGCCAAGTTCATCTTAAATTAATCGACGAGCTAATTCTACCGGCCCTTGCTACAAAGTTGCAGATCCTATAGTAGACATAAAGGACGCGACGGCCAAGCAAAAAGGTAGCATCAATCGTGCGTTTACAGCATGTACAGATTCAACAATCCTAAAGAGAAGCATCGGAATGCAGCTAATTTGTTCGTCGGAGAAATTAGAATTTAGAAATGAGTAGAAATTACGTGACCATAGAGGAGAGATGACGCGGAGGGGATCGGACCTGGAACTTGAGGATGGCCGCCGTCTCGGCGTGCACCCGGCGCGTGACCCACGGCTGGACGAGCGCGCGCGTCCGGCGCGTGAGGTCGTAGAAGGAGGCCGCCCACACCCACCCGGCCACTGCCGCCAGCGCCGCCGCCTGCCACCTGGTCAGGCCCGCACCCGTGCCCGCGCCCAAACCCACAACCGCTGCCGCCTCCATGTCCAATTCCAAACGCCGGCGCCTGGCTCCTCCCGGTCCTGGGCACAGGGACAGGAAAAAAGCGCCGCAGATAGTGGGGGGGCTCGCTGGGACCGCAGCGCTGGCGGACGGACTCTTGTAGCGGGGAGGCGCGCAGGCCGAGGCGGACGGGGTCGTCTGGATCGCGGGGGGGAGCTGGACCTGGACCGCTGGACGGGTCGGCGATGGGGGGAGGTGCCGAGGACGACGTGGAGCCGTGGAGGTGGTGGCGTTGGCCCGTTTCGTTGTCGCCGGCCGCCACCCGCTCTGGACCGCGGCTCTCGGTCTTGGTGGACTTTCTTTCTTTTTTGTTTCGTGGTAGTTTCGGTTTGCTTTGTTTTTGGGGGCGGAACTGGGGATTTGACGCTGACTTTAGAAGGTTCTGATTGTTTCGTCTAATTACTGTCTTTTTTTTTGTAAAGAAAGAGGTATGTTTTTTTTCAGAAAAAAATTTATACACCCCATCTATAAATGTAAGGAATTATTATGGGTTTTGAAATTTATCCATAAATGTAAGAACCTTTTTTTAATCTAACTCATCTAAATAGGTTGTATTTAACATTGTCAACTATATGGTCCCAGTTACATAAACAGGCATAATTCAATCACATCTTTGTACAATTTAGATGCTTGATTGAGAGGTTTATATGTCCTTCTCCCTTTCTAATTCTTCTACAGTACTCCATCCATAATCAAAATTCAAGTTGTTTTGGACATGATTTAGTCATATCAAAAAGTGGTTAATTAGGGTGTATTTTTCCCTGTTTGCTCTCATTAAATAGGGTAGCGGGTTTCACATACTCCCTCCATACTTAAAATTCAAGTCGTTTTAGACATGATTTAGTATACCAAGATTAATTAATTAAGGTATATTTTTTTTTCTGTTTGACTTCATTAAATAGGGTAGCGGGTCTTACATATTCAACGATCTTTCATAGCTGGGCTAGTGCAGTGAGGCCTGAGTCATGAAGTTCAGGGTTCGATCTCTCTCTTGGTGGAAATTTTTGCGATTTTTTTCCCTTACGCGGATAGCTGCGTGCCTGCATGAACTTTATTGGTGGGAATTTTTCCGATTTTTTTTCCTTGTGCGGATAGCTGCGTGCCTGCATGGCGCTCGCTGCATGCCTGCATGAACTTTACTGATGTGTTCTAGGTTCACGTGTTCTAGTGCTCCATCTTGGAGTCCTCTCACACGTCCGTGCAGCTGCAACTGCAAGGTCCACGGCTTCGCGTCGCGTCCTGCTCGACGGACTCCGGCACGATCCTCCACGGACAGAGTCAGGCTCGACAACTCGACGGACTCCGCCGCGAGCTGCTCCAACGACTCGGCGGCGGCGCGAGCTCCGGCGCGACCTCCGACGTCTCGACGGACTCCGGATGCGCGGACTCCGACGACTCGACGGACTCCGGCGCGATGGACTCCGGATGCGCGGCCGGCGCAGTCTCTCTCCTCTCTGATGCACAAGCAAGCAAGCGCAGTCTCTCTCCTCTCGGATGCGCCGCGAGGAGACGCGAGTTAATGTCCTGGGGACTTGTTAGCGGCGGGACACGGGAGGGATGGGGGTAAGACCGTCCAAAACGCTGTGGTGGAGTGCTAAAGGACTTGATTTGTGAAACTAACTAAATAACCAGAACGACCTGATTTTTAAGCACGGAGGGAGTATAGTTTAGTGACGTTTGAAGGACCAAACAAGGCAGGTCAGCACGACAGGGTAAAGGCTGCTGTCTTTAGGCCCGTTCGGCTTGTTGAAACTTAGCTAAAACTGGCTGAAAAATACTGTTCTGGCTAAATTATTGTGAGAGAAAAATACTATTCCAACCGGAAAAAACAAGCCAAACAAGTCGGTTTCTGTGATAAACCGAACGGAGCCATGTCATGGCAGGTGCCACCAAGAAACATCCCAGCACAAGTTGACTACTTTTCCTCTCTGTTTGCAGTAAAAAATGAGGACGGACGGATGCAGGTACGATACGAATATACTGCTATATACTCCATCAGTTTGTTCGGTTGGCTGGTTCGTTTCATTGCTGGTTCATAAAGAAATACTGTTGACTGATTTGTGTGAGAGAAAAATATTATTCCAACTAAAAATTTACGATAAGCCACAGGCTCCGTATCTACGAGACTTGTGTGAGTGCCTCGGAACATTCTATTCTTTGTTTCTTCACCATCTCATATCGCTTGCAGTGTGGGTGCATGATGCAGTAAGATAATAGCTATATTAGCTGTCAATCGGAGTGTCAGCACTCAGCAAGCACATCGGAATTGGATTGCGTACGTTGAACAGATTCACTGGATTCAGCCAAATGGACTCGTCAGACTTTTGAACTCTCGGCTTTGTTACTAATAACACTAGCGGAACAATTTGCCAAACCAGACAATTCGGTCGGTTCATCAACATCATCATAGTCCATAGATTCATACGTTTTCAGTTTCACATGTATATTCATAGTGCACCGTAGCATATGTAAGCGTGGTTGTCCTGGCTGTTATGTACATATATATACAAGGAAAGATCATGAAAAAAAAGAAAAAGAAAACAGTGTGCATCATCTTGAATAATCTTTGAGTCCTTCGTCTCTGACGTGTGGTGCGGAAGAACTTCTGGCTCGTCCTGCTCTTCCTGTCAACTGAGCTTCGCGCCAGTCAATTTGGCCGTCTGCTAGTACAAATTGTTCCAGGCGTGGCGTGCATAAAGTCAGGATTGGCCTGCGGTCCTGTGCTATGTGAGCACGGCCGTCTGCGAGTATTTGAGAGCACACACTTATTTTTCCAAACGCGACGGCGTGACTTGCTTGGCCATTTGTGTGTTAAGTTTGCTTGACTTGAGTCACGAGAATAATTGGGCGTGCAGAGACTTATTACACAAATTATTAATTACAGATCCTTATTTTTTATTACTCCACTTTTTTTCCCGTTCTTTGTCCCATGTATATATAGAGAAGAGTAAAATGCATGGATGGTCCATCAACTTACGCTCTAGTTTCACTTAGATCCATCAACTATGAAAATAAGTTTTTGGTCCATAATCTTTATTAGTGGCACGTTCCTAACATATACCCCATTTATTTCAATTTTTTAACCGACGTGGCACCTCTGGGTCCAGGTGGACGCCGCACACACGCATGCATGTGCATGCATGCACGTCGGCGTCTCGGCGGTGGAGGAGGCAGTGAGCGCCTTGAGGTTCTCGGTCGATGCCGGAGCGAAGTCCTACGGTAGCCGCGCGCGCCAGACGATGCGCCACATGTTGCTCTATAGGCTCTGCTGAACCAGCTGCCGCACAGCGCGCTTCTCGGCGCTAATGCCGGCGTCGTCGAACTCCCCGTCCACCGACTCCTCCTCGACGCCTGAGACCGCGGCACTGCGCTTCGGCGCGGAGGCGCCGACACGCTGGAATCGCGCCGCCACGACGCGTGAGCTCACGACGAGACGCGGCGTCCACGACGCTGTCACCGTAGCTTGCGCCTTGACCATGGCGTGGAGGATCTCCAGAGATCGACGCGCGATTGAGCGCTTCTGCGAGTGTTGTGCCTGGCGTGAGCTCCGTGAGGCGAGCGCCTTGGTCCACACGGGCGGCGACGAGCCCAGCGGTGGCCCGCGCGCGCCATGGTTCTCTCTAGGCAGGCTAGAGTCACCGTAGCGCCGGTGTGCGGGACCATGAGCACGTAGGCCACCTTCTCCTAGCTTTTCGGGCTCGCCGCGGCCCGATTGAGCACGCCGTCGGCGAGGGACGGCACAGCACGCGACCGCGCGCTTCGCTCACGCGGCTCGCCATGCGGCTGCGGCCTTCACGCCCCGCCATTTTTGGCTTGCGGGGGGCGCGCGCGCCCGCGATCTTGCGGACGGGCGGCGGCGTGCCTCGCGCCGTGCTCGCAACCTCGTGGTGCCGATCCCTAGAAAGTGAACCGTCGGCGTGCTCAATCCGCCGACGGTGGAGCCCGGTAGTGATGGAGAAGGTGGCCTACGTGCTCATGGCAGAGGCTATGCACCGCTTCGTGAGCTACGGTGGATCGACGCGCGCAGAAGATGGCCCATGGCCGAGCAAGTGATGAGAGCGCCCTTGATCGCGGCGCGCTCGTGATGAACTCTGAAGAGCTCAATCGAGAGACGCCGTGTGGTGGCGCAGGTTGTGCTCACCTCAGGCCGCGATGAACCGGAAGAGTCTCAATGATGAACCTCTCCATCGCGCGCGCAACGCCGCCGCACTGGCGGGATCTGGAGATCTCCGCGCCGACGGCGTGGGCTCGTGGTGGTAGCGGACAACATCTCGGCGTCGTGCCGCGGCGTGTGTCGGCGCCGGTGTGGAGAAGGTGGAGCGCAGGTGGCCTGGCGGCGCAGTGGAGGAGGAGTCGGTGGACGGGAGGACGACGCGGCACGGCATGCGAGCGGCAGAAGCGCGCCGCAGAGAGCGCAGGAGGAGGAGAGAGTGGGATGGGGAGTTCGACGACGCCGCATTCGTCGCGGCACTGGTTTAGCGAGCTCGCAGAGCAACACGCGGCATCGTCTCCGGCGCAAGGCCGCCTTGAGGACTTCACTCCGGCATCGACCGAGAACCTCCAAGCGCTCACTGCCTCCTCCACCGCCAAGACGCCGACGTGCATGCATCAGGCATGCACATGCATGCGTGTGTGCGGCGTCCACCTGGACCCAGAGGTGCCATGTCGGTTAAAAAATTAAAATAAATGGGGTATGGATTAGGAATGTGCCACTAACAAAGATTATGGACCAAAAAAACTCACTTTTAGAGTTGATGGACCTAAGTAAAACTAGAGCGCAAGTTATGGACCACCCACGAGAAAGAGAATTTCGCATGAAATCATATAGATAGGATTGGACGTACGAGGATGCAAATGTGCATTTCCTTGTACAGTAGAAGAGTATACCTGCTAGTAATAATACTTTATTGCAGGAAAGATTGGGCGTTATGAATTTATGACGACGTAAGGATGCAAATGCCATTTTTTTGTACATAGGAGTA